ACAACTAAATTTTTTAAAAAAGTAATCTTCTTTCCATAAATATTTTCATTTTAAGATTTAACCAAATTAAAAATAGAATAAAAATAAAATTTTGAAGACCACAGAAAACAAAATGCAATACTTTCTCTTGTCTTCATTCACATTAACTCTAAATGTGTATATGAACAAGAACAAAAAAAGTATTCTATTGGACCAAAACAAAAAAGAAACAACACTAAATTATTCGTATAAAGAAATGTAGGACGCGCAGATTCGAATGATTTGAGCCGAATGAACTTAACATAACATAAACGCAAACTAAACAGCACACAAACTTGTTAAGTTATCTATTGGTGCCCTCTTTAACCTAGATGAGCAATAATTTATCTTTTATTTTATATTCTAAATTCTGATTGTTTTCATCGCATTCTCTATTTTGGACAGATGCCATACTATTGATGATATATTTGCGGTCCATAATTCTTGATATTCTATTGTAAATTTTCATATATTAGTACACAGCAAAACATACCAAATATACAAATAATTTAAAGGGCTTTAATGTAAACTCTATATTTATATATGTATGTAGTTATAGTTTGAAGTTAAATGCTCACAGCCTAATGAAAAAGCAAAATTTTGGTATGTTTTACGCGATCTAATGTCAGTTTATTTGACAAAGTCCCATAATTTTCGTACTTCCACATTTTTTTCTGGTCGATTTGTGGTTTTCCAAATGGTATAGAAGAAAATTATAGGCAAGTCAATGTGTTGTGTTGGATAATATTTCATTGTTATGAGAAGATTAATTTGTTAATACCCTAATAGAACTTTTAATATTTTGTCATGACGCAAAGAAAACAAAAATATAAATTAATTCTATTAGATAGGCAAATTATATTAGAAATGTGTAAAAATGAATAATATTAAAAAAGAAATTAAGCATATTAAAATTTTTCTCCCAAATTTGTCTAAATTAGATCAACTTAAACATTTAAGAAACATGATAAGATTAACAGATGCAGGATGTACACTTGTCTGAGAAATTTATTCCATTCATAAAAAAAAAATTGAAATTGCAATAAAATATAAAAATTATGAAAGGGAATGTGGTTTTAACAAATTAAATAATTATTATAAATTTCTATAACATTAGAAAGGGTTTTGGATTGATCATCACTTGCGAAGTTAAAAGGTTTATCCATCCCCTAAAATTTTTTAAGTTTTACTATAATTTGTTTCTCTAGTGCCAAATTTACCAAATTAATTTTGACTGAACAGTATCCAGCGCACTACTCGTGCAAGAGACTCAAATCTCTGTCAAAAATAAATTTTTATTCATTCGAAATTTATGTGAAATTCATTTTCAAATTTATGTGAATCGGATAAACAAAGATCAAAAATTTCAATTACGAACTCACTTTATTAAACATCTAATAAATTGTATATATTATATACATATATGGATTTGAACGTATACGTTTCAGATTTTTCATTATTTGGCCAATTCCAGGAGTTTTCTGAAGCTGATTTTTTTAAAATAGCAAGTCTAACTCTAGTTATGACTATTTTATTATTACATACTTGTAAGCAATATATAGAGTTGAAAAAAATTCCTAGAACTTAAAACAATTTGTAAAACTTCCGAACATACCATTTTTATTTTATAAAATCTGATTTATGATTTCCTATAGGGTCGATTTATTATACTATTAGGCTAATCACACACTTCCAAGAATTTAATGATAAAATTTTGTAATTAAGAACCGGAAAACTAAAACATTTTATTTCAATCAAACCACTTTACTGTTTCAGATAAAAATTTTTTTACATACCAGACAAATTTACAAAGTACTTTTAAAAAAATTCAAATTCTTCATTGATCAAACATAAATTTATGTCACCATTTTTGGAATAAAATGAATATAAGTAAATTTGCACAAAAGGTTAATTTGAATGAACACTTTACTTTTGTAAAAGACAACAATTTTCTTTTCTTTTTTATATAATTTTTATTTTAAGATCTTGGTATTCACCACTACTACATCGAATCAATCGGTCAACAAACAAATAAAATAAAATAAATTTAGCAAATAAAGAAAAATATAAAAAAAAAAACATAAAAAGCCTGCTTTATAATCGGCGTATTATTAAAGACGAAATCTTCTTTTTCGACTTAAATTAACAAAAACTTTGGAAACACTTAAAAAGACATTGCACTAAAAATCTCACAGCATCACAAAGTTTATATAAAAATCGCATAGCAAAAGACAAAAATTTAATTTCGTTGCGCAAAGAAGATCGAATGCAATAACAAAAATAACAATAACACCAATAAAAAAAAACAAAAATATGAGAAAATTGAATTAATGTGACAAAAAAATCGCGCACACACAACATCACTTTTTGAATTTTTCATTTGCACCAAAAACGACACGATGACTGTCGTCTGTTAACAGTCTGGAAATTTATTTTTTGTTATTTTTAGATAAACATTATACATTAAGGGTGCAGCAAAAGATCATTGCTCTAAATTCAAATTATTTTATTGGATGAATATTACATTTATACATTCTGATATACGAATTACACAGTTTTATAATGAACACATATACTTACTTGTATTCATCATAAATGTTGTTATAATATACAAGAAATGCACTTATATTTTAAGTAGAAAATTGCATTAATGAATTTTAAACAGAATTGTTTATTTTAATTTAAACTCATATGATTGTATAAAATTCTTATAGCATATGTACATAGAGGCATTCAAAAAGCAAAAGTAGCGCTTATACAACCAACACTTTTTAAGAAGAAAAATCTTTTTTAATAAAATTTATTAATATTAACGTGATTTACACGAGAGCAAATTTTAATGAATAAAATTTTATGGAGTTTTATTGAATTGATAATGTGCAAAATTATAATTTTATTTAATTTGCAGAAAGTAATAAAGATTTCAAACGCCTTGGTATATGCAATTTTTATTATTGTAGCATATGCAACATTTGCAATCTCTTTTCTTAAGAGATTTTAAAGTATGTATTTAAAAATATTTAATAAATTTATTTTTAACACCATATTCAAAGAATTCAGAAAAAGTTCTAAATTTTTCGAAATTTTCATATACATATAACGTTATGATTCTTCAACATCTTTATACATTTGTTATTATTACATTTAGAAAACTCCTGTATTAAACAAATTATTGAAAGCTGAGCCAAAAGGTAAATCCATACAATAAAATTTTGGCTTCAATAAATGGGCCATAACTGTAGTCAACGGAAATACTTCTGAAGTACCCAGATTTATAATTAAATAACAACTAAGTATTGTAAACAGGAAGGGAAACATAAAAATTCGTATACTTAATTGAAACAAAGAACATGACTGAGACTAAAAAACTACATATAAGTATATGAGTTTTTATTTTACATTGCTCTTTCTTTGTCGCAGTTGCTAATATATAGATACTAGCAACTTCCTGTTGTGATGGTGTCGCAACCCTTCCAACGTCATCAAAATCAATAAAAAATAAGTGTAAAATATTTGTCACGTGACATCATGAACAAGTGCATTTAAAGATCCAATCTCAACTTTTTACGTTCTCATAGACTACGTATGCAACATTTGGCTTTTATTATATAATAAGAATTTTATTCTAAATGTTTAAAGGAGGTTTACCTCAATTATTCACTCCTTATTTCCCAGCTCAATACTGCAAATGGAAACTCAAACTATTGAATTTATTGAACTACTGAATACTGAATTCGTGGACATAATAGATACGTAGATTTGTATTTAATTAATATTCTTAGATCTATTGAAAATGATGTAAAAAAACAAAATTTTAACCCTATTAAACTTAACGATCTCAATTCATTTAAAGCGAAAATATGTGCTGCTTTTATAAAAATTCAATATAATTGAGATTAAAACCATTTTTAATTTTTTCATATTAAGTATTAAGTGTGTTCACTTTGGCATTAAAATCAATTTCATAAAAATTACAAAATTCGTCGTTATTATTTTTTTATGCGTAACATTTAACAAAGTGGATATAATACATATGTATATAGCGGAATAGGGTTCACTTCTGTTCACATTCATATAGGCATAAAAATTTAATGGGTTTAAGCGTGATGTAATTTGGTTATCTAAGCGCTTATAACCGAATGCACATGTATTTTTTGTTCAAAACTTCATTTAATAAAACACAGAAATTTTTTTTACAATCAAATTTTAACAATATAGAAATTACGCTAAGAATAAAAACCAAGTTTAAAGTCAATTAAAGCGATTTAAAGAGACAGGAAGTTGAAAATTTTTGTTGAATTTTTAAATTTCATTATAATATTTATTTCAACTTTGTTATATAAGAAAAAGAAATATTTAGTAAATTTCGTATATACATACATGCATATTTAGAGAGAGGGGTCTGTTAACAGAAGAATTCAATAATTTTTAATCAATGAACAAAAATATCATTTTGGTATTTCAGCATAACATTTACCAATACACAAAAAATAGACGGGGAAGATCTAAATTATTAATTGGGTTTGGTATACAGTTCAAATTTAATAAAACCCTTTCTAAAATTTTTATAATTGAAATAACATGTGTTATGTATTATATAATAGAATTTATTATGTTTAAAATTTTATTATACTGGGTCAGTTATTCAAGTAATGTAGACAAGCATATATTGCTTAATATACATATGTTTATATATTGCTTAAAATAGCTTATATCTAAAATATATTTAAGGTTCATAAATATCTTCAGAAACCAAGTATGTTATAGAATCATATTTATGTAGTTGTTAAATTTCTATAAGTTGTATTAAAATTTACAGCTGAAATTTCTTTCTGAATTTAAAGTACAAATATTGAAACTAGCTGGACAAATTGTCTAAAATATTTTTTTCTGCGTCAATTTCAGTTTTAATTTTAAAAATATTTTTATTTACTTATTTTAAATAAAAAATTTTAATACAAACAATTTCTTTTTCATTTTAGATGGATTCCGTTTTTAATTCTAAATTGGAAGTTCCACAAAAAACAAAATCATTTATAATCAAATTGAGCACTCATACTCAATTTCGAATTGATGAAGGATTATTCGAAAATAATTTAATTAATAGTATACGTGTTGAAGGAATATCAGATGAGAGTAATTCACAAATTGAGATTAGTCAAAATTCCTTGAAAGGAAATAATGGACCATATCCAGAGATAACAATTGTCGATGTTGGAACCGTTATTTTACGTACTGATTCTTTTTCAGGTAAGGTAGTCAAAAATATTTAAAATTGCTTTTTATTATTTTAATTCACCTATACAGCCCGAATTTGCATTTCGGTTTCCCTCTATATTCTTGCAATTTCTTTATCTATTTTAAAAAAAGGTATTTAAATTGGGTGCGCTATAAATTCAATTTTTTACATTTTATTTTTTTAACAAACTTATTTCGTATTTAAACCTTACTAACATTATTCATTATCAATTTAATTAAAAAATATTTTAAAATTCCAGGTGAATTTCGTTTAATAGTAAGGAATAGTGGTTTTGTTAAAATTTATAAGAATGCATTTCAAAATACATCCTTTGAAGGGCAATTCTCGAATATTAAAGATTTACGTTTTGATGTAGGAGCCTTTAATAAAGCTCAAGCTAAGGTAAAACTAATAAATATTTATTAATTTTCAATAAATTTAATCGTGTTCATACTAAAATTTTTTGTTAAAAAATTTAAATATTTTTAGCTTACAATAGAAGATTCAAAAATTGATGAATTAAATCGTTTCGAAGCTTCTTTACGTGAAATTAAATTTGATAATTGTACAATTGGAATAATCGATACTGGTGCATTTGATGTGAATAATATCAATTCGATTGTATTTTATCGATGTAAAATTGATGTGTTTCGTTCAAAAGCAATTACTGAAAAGGTAATTTTTCTTAAAAATTTTGTATTTTTTTGTTAATTAAATACTTTACAACTATAATTTGATATTAAAAAAAAATTATTTTTAATTTTAGCTTTTAAGTCATAATTTTTCAATAACGAATGCCGATATTCGTGTGATGGAAAGTGAAGCTATTTCAGGAAGTGGCATTACAGAATTAGTTTTAAAGAATAATAAGTAAGTTTTCGGTTAAATCAAAAAAATTTAGAAAAATTTAAAATTTGGGTAAAAATTTAAAGTCAAATTACGTTACTTTAAAATTCCGGTAAAAAATGTTTATTTTTAAATAATTTAATTTTCACTAAACAATCAAACCATAGATTAACGAAAAGTTTAAGAGATTTCAATTGAATAACATTCAAACTAATAGTAAAATTCATAGGTTTACAAATATCAATTGGTTATCAAAAATCCTGTTAAGCAAACAAACGTTCACATGCTTTTTTACTCAAATTGAAACTTGAATTAAGATGTATTTTATGTCTGAACTTACAAATGTTCAAATGTGCTTGTGGAATTTACAAAAAATTTAACAAATATGCAGTACTAAACTTGAAGTTGTCAAAGTTTTCGATTAAAAATTTAATATTTTAGTTAAAATCAATGTCACTTTAAAAATATCAGACTTATTTTTACTATTTTATTGAAATGAAACCACGTTGTCGAACATTTCCGGAATTTCATTAAATAGAATGAATCAAAGAGGATTTCCTTTTGCAATAATAAAACCACATATTTATAAATATAATTCAAAAAGTTCAAAATAAAAGTTTCACAATTGCATTCAGAACAAATTTTTCCCAATGTTATCGGCATACTCACCTGTAAATTTGTTAATTATCATTTTATACGTACCTGTAATGAAAAAAGAAGTAGAATGTAATATATTTCTAATCAAAATAAAAATTAGTTTTGGAAGAGTAAAAATATGAGAAAACTTTTCAAACGGTTCGTATTTTGACAAAAAAAAAAAATCAGAAAATATTTTAAATCAACCTTTAAAACATGTGACCAGTATCCTAATCACTAACTCCTAAGAAATGAAGTCTATGCTTTTAAAATTAAATTAATAATTTTTTTTTTTCATTTTAGTATCGATGAAATTCAATCGAATGCAATATATGTGGTAGCGGCAAACGCAACAATTTCATACAATCGTATCAATAAATTAGGAGACAATTGGCTTCGAATCAAAGATTTTACTCATATACACATTCATCAAAATGAATTTAGAGATTTTGGTTCCATGCTGCTTGAGCAACCTCCAACATCGCCAAATATAGTCTTTTGTAAATTCGAGAATAATTCAATTACAAATCCAAAACCTGGAAGTCTGAACATTCCTAACAAATATTGTATAATACGTGAAATATCATTCTATCAATTATGTTCCTGTAATACCGAATGGTTAGATCAAATAACATCACGCGATCTGAAATCACTTAGTTATTGTCGTGTCTCAAATGATTTGAAAGATTGTTTTAAACGTAGTGTATATAATATTCTTGCATGGCTTAATGAAGTTTGTGATTATAATGCAAATACATTAGATTGCATGAAAGGCCAAGAACAAAAGAATGTCAATTCAAATTTCATTGATCCTAATGATGATGGAGGTTTCGATTTAAATTGGATTTATATTATTGTTGGCATTATTATTCTAGTCATATTAGTTCTTATAGTTTTTATAGCAACTATGAAATTTTACACAAAACGTCGTCAACAACAGCAACAACAAGCTGCAACACATCTTTCCGAAAGTAATTCAGCTGTGTCGAATCTAACACCAAATGGTACAGCACAAAAGCATCAACATATATTTTCGAATGAAGATCGTCGAATTATTAATCAAACATTAAATATCTTAAGAGAAAAATATCCACCTGATGTTTACGATGAGGTTAATAAAAATACTCAAATTTTATTACGCGGTAATATTAATGAAATGCAAAGAGTTAAATCTATTGGAGACATTGTACAAGCATTAGATGAATGTCAAAATACTGGCGATGATTTTGTTGCATTCACAGATATTTTATATAAACATTTAGCGTCATCAAGCGGTACAGCACCACCAATCGAACCAACATATTCAGAACCAGTGATACAAGATGATGTTAATAGTATTAGTAGTGGAGGAGTGGGAGGCGTTGGTGGTGGAATAACTAATAGAACAGGCGGTAATAATAGAGGAGTTGGTCCATATGCATCAACAACTGTTGTACCAGGCATTACAGATTTACAAACAAATATCGATCATATATATGCAGAACCTACAAGCGCCCAACAGCCGTTACTTACAAATGAATATGCTTCCCCAGCTGATCGTAATGACGACAATATGGTAGATTTATATTCTGAGCCGATTTCAAATGAAAGAGGTGAGATATTAATTTGAAATGATTGAGTTTTTGAGAGCTGTGTACATACGTTTATATATGTATATATATACAATATAAATATCTATATATGCATATGATACAGACATGGCAAATGAAACAGTAAGAAATTTTATTACGTAATTTTTTTTTTGTTTTTCTTTTGGAATTTTTCTCAAACAGGATAAAAAAAATTTAATATTCTAAAATTGTCATGTAAAAATCTTGTTGTTTTAATAAAATTAGAATGTCTACTAGAAATTGTATTTTTAAGGTGAGATCAAAATGTCAAATATAGACATATACAAAGCTAATTGTTTTTTTGTAACAAATATTGTTTAACCCTTTTCGGGAAATGTTTATTTTATTTTCTGTTTTGTTTTTTTTTTTTTTGCTTTTATTTGCTACTAAATTGCTATGGTGTACGGCAGTTTCACAAATATAGATATATTAAATTATTTTGTATTTATTATTTGCAAAATATTGCAAGTTTACCATCCAATTATTATAGACTTAATCCGGCAAAAATGCTTTTGTATATTTAATGATTTAAAGATTAATATAATAAGCTAGAAATACTCATTTTATATAATATTCATATAGAATGCATCTTGGTATAGAACACCAGTTAAAATGCAACTTTGGAATAACACCAAATTTTAGTTTCTATCATCAAACATCAATTCATGTCACTCACAATATTCAATAAAATTGCCAAACTTCAATGGCACTCGCTTAATAAATTACTTTTTTTAACGATTACGACAAGTACGTTAAATGTTTTTGTTAAATGCACACAACTCTGTTTTATGTTATTAAAGAAAAAATTTTACTTCGAATTCGAAATTAGGGTAATTTAAACAATTAAATAACTAATAAATTTGTTAAATATAGTGCGAATCCAATATTGACAAATAATTAATATTTTTAACGGACAATTAAACTGTGCTCACTTCTTTCATTTCAAAACATGAGAACTACCAATATGCATAAATCATCCAAAACCTACTAACAATAAATTGTATATATAAACACGAAAACAAAATATTGTCATAGGGAAAATTCAAATTTTTAATTTTTCTAAACTCAGTATTTTTGTTATTTTCATAATTATGCTTGCAATTAATTTTCAATTTTATAATTATCATCTTAAGCTTTATATAATATTCTTAATACAATAATACAATCATATTTTTTAATTCCATTTTTGCTTTTTACTTATTAACGCTAAATATAATTTTTTTTTAGATCGCAAAATCATTCCGCCATATGCAATAATTGGACCAAAAGCATATTCTTCAAATCAATCATCAATTAATTCTTCAAAACATAATCAAAAAACAATACAACAAAAACCGTCCACATTTAATATACCAACATCACAAACAATAAATCAAAAAAATCTTCCTGATGTTTTACATCCGTCAACATCTTCATCAATTACTGCCAATAATAAAAATAATTTTCTTAATAGCACTAACATAAATAACAGCAGCAGCAGCAGCAGCTTTAAACCCTTAACAAATGTTCAAAAAATGGCAAAAAATTTTTCAAATGATCCAAACTTCCACATAACAAGATCACCAACATCAAATCGTCGAATACCAAAGTATACAATTCCAAATAAAAAACAATTATCTGATAATAATATTGTTGAACAACATCAGCCATCACCATCCACATCTACATCATTAAATCCATCATCATTTACATCAATTAAACAAAACAACAATACATTAGATTATGATAATTATATTACAGGATCTGGAACAGGAGGTCTAATAGGAAATTTTAATGTTAATTTATCACCATCTGGTGAAGCAGCCACATCCAAAATAGTTTCTGGTGATAATCAATCGAATCATTCAGGTGGTAGTGATATAACAGTTCAAATGGATGATATTATAGAATATGCGGATGCATAAAATTTCAAAAATTTTATAATTGAATCTGGTCCAAACTAGATAATTTTTTTTTTGTTTGATTAAAATTCTTGAAGATGCATTATAATTTTAATTGTGAGCGTATCGAAACTTTTAAACTTGTTTGTCATACAATATTATTAAGATTATATTTCATGATCGCACTGTTAAATGCATTTTGAATTTTTTCTCTTGTTATAAATATTTCCTTTTTATATATAATTAATTTTATAACATGTAAATATTTTGAAGCATAAAATTGATTTTATTTGATTTCTTAAGAAAAATATTTTGTTTGAATATTTTTATGATAATTAATAAGTAACTATGTACTTTGATAATCTAAACTGTCATACACATGTATTATGTTTATTCATAAATGCCATAATATTTAAACCTATGATAGTTAAAGCATATACATAAAATACAAAGATTTGCCACAAAATTTCGAAAAATTTAAATTTCAGAATCAAATATTATGATAATTAAGTAATTAAAATTAATTATCTTCACATTCTCATATATGTATATATAATGTAGTTCTTAAATTAAAAATTTGTGACTCCATTCAATTAGATTTTCATTAATCAAATAAATAGTTGGTGTAAATTCGTATTTGAAATTTCATTAATGCATCTCCAAATCATGTGACAACATTATATTATAAAACTTCAATCTGATTTTTCTATATAATTTTGTTTTTTAATATTACACTGAGCCGGGTAAAGCTAATATACATTATATTCTTAATATTTAATGCAAAAAATTAAGTTGATAAAGTAATAATTATGTAAATAAATTTAAAGTAATTAATGAACTTATTTCAACATTATAGAAATTATAGGGTTATAATATTTTTAAAACTAGATATTTCACACATTTGCTTAAAATTTACAAATTACAAAAGTCTTTACTCTAAAATAATTTCAATTTATATAAAAAACAAATCGCATTATTAATTAAGAAGAATATAAAGCCATAATTTTATATAAAATAAACAGGATACCTAAATAAAATTGCAGTATGCAAAGTAAAATCAATATATGTACGTACATAAGAAAATAATTATATTATAAAATATTAAATGTCAAATTATTTTACTATTAATATTAATTTAAAGACTGTGTGAAATTTTTATTGTTATTATTATAATTTAAATTTAATTATAAAATAATATTGTTATCACAAAATCTGTTAGCAATTTAATAATAATAATAATAATAATAATGTGAAAATAAATAAATAAAATTGTCATAATATTATGAAAAGAAATCTTTGGAAATTAGCCAAATTCCGATTTTAAGGCTTTTGTGAAGCTATTGATCAAAAGTGTTAAAACACTTTGAAAATCAAAACCGTGATATTGGCGAATTTCCGCAGAGATATATATGTCACGATGTTCATCATTATTTTCTTAGGCGTGAGTCACTTGAGGAAGAAGAAATTATACGAAATGTATTTAAAATTACGAAACTAATTTCTGAAAATTAAAAGAAATTTGAATAATTTTCCATTACCTTAAGTGATGCGTCTAAGAAAATATGGATGAATATTAAAACAGTAGAAACAAAGTAATAAGATTGTGTGTAAATCAACTTTAATCGCTAATTATTTAGAGATGTATTATAAAAACATAGTGATACTTTGGAAATTAATTTTTATTAAAGTAAGGAAGGGAGTAAATTAATGAATACCCAAAAATTAAGTCTAAATGCTGTAGCAATTTAAATTAACACCTTTTTGATTGTGATGAATCAAATTTAATAAAAATTTTAAGATAATGTTGAACAATGTCAATAATTTGAACACGAACAAACATAGTTTTGAAATTTCAAGTTTATTCGAGCCTCCTACATTAAATTTTCTAAATCACGCACAACAGAACACATATTACACTCAATCTTGATATTTGATACATTTTGAAAATTATTTATTTATAAAGAATTTCCGGCCCAACTTTTCTCTATTTTTGTTTTGGTTTCTTTGTAAATATTATAAAATTTTTACTCAGCATGTATACAAAATGATTGTATAAAAATATTTATGTAAATATAATAATATTTATGAGATTATTATGTATCGCGAATTCTTTTCAAGCAAATTGAATTCATCTTAAAAAGAAGTTTAGTTCATCCCAATTCAATGTTAAATTTTAAATTCATTTTAAACAATATTTATCTTGAAATTTAATAATGACTCCAATTTCTTTGAATTAATAAATTATGTTATAAATACAAAATATAAAAGCATTCATTTTAAATAATATTGAATACTAAAATATTCAATATTAATTTAAAAAACTTTAATTAGAATTCAATAAGTCGCATGTGAATTCACAATACATAATAATCCTATTAATTTGGCTTGTGATTATAATTAGATTTTTAGTTAAAATTATTATTACTATTGAACAAATACATATTTAATTTTAATTACGTTAATATGTAATTTTAATAATTTTGTTTTAATTATTTCCTATGAACAAAATTATATTAAATCTTTTTTGAAAATTTAAATTTGGAATATTTGTATTTTCTCGAAAAATTCTTTGTTAAAGACATAATAAATTGTATAAAACATAATACGTACTATCAAATAATTTCATTTTTAAATTACATATATTTTATTAAATTTTTTGAATAGCTATTTTGTCATAATGTTAGTAAAATTTTTTGAATAGCGATTTTGTCATAATGTTAGCAATAATTACATCTATTAATAAAAATAAAGAATTTCCATTTGTATTTTTCAATATATTTCCATTAAACTATGTAAAATATTTAATAATTTTTAAAGCAATATGATTAAAATTTTGTTACTTTATGTTAATTTTCACTCTGCAACTGAAATTAAATTATGAATTCTTTCCTAAAATAGACAATTTAATATTTGATGCAAATATCTTTAAAATATGATCCTCATCAGTCATAAATAAAATAAATAAATTTAATTTTAAGTTAATTATAACAAAAACTATTTGTTTTTTTGTTAATTTCTCTAATTAATGAATTAGGTCTATGCATAATATAATATTATTTTTTATTTAGATAAAATCAACAGAAGAAAAACCTATGTAATTTAAAATATATTATAAATAGATATTTTGTAAAATTTAAATAAAAAAAAAAACAAAAACATTGTTTATAAAATTGTAATTTTTTAATTTGTTACAAAAGGTTATAAGTATATATTTTCTATAAACTCTTAATTAGAAACTCCTACATTGATTTTCTTAAAGTTATTTATGGAAATAATTGACGAAATATAAGTCCAAACTTAAAATCCTTCACTTTGAATTAAAAAAATATATTTTCTCGTTTGATCTTAATTGCAAATTAAAAATAATTTTTATTAAAATTTTAATATTTTAGTACATAGAGTATGAGACATTAAATTTTCGAGTATAGATTTCTGAATCATATTTTGAGAATAACGTTGCGTATGCATAGAATCTTATCGAAAAAACTCAGCGGTTTAAATATTCATATGGTATGAAACCACATTTACTGGGAAAAAATGTTTCAGCTTTCACATAGACAACAGAAGCTTATGTAATTTTTTGACAATAAATTCATAAATTCATAATGCTTTTGTATTATTTTATTATTTGATTAACTACAAAAGTTAATCCAATACTTCTACTAGAAAAATACTTTATATTAAAGTTTTAATCAAAAATTCATATACAATCGACAAATGTTAATAACACAAAATAATATTAAAACAAGCAACTAAACAGCAATTATAGTAGTAAATAACAGTAGTAGATCTAAAATTTATATGTTATACATATAATACATATGCGAAAGCAAAATTTCATATCAAAAATTATAAAAAGCAATAAACGCCAAACCTTATTTGAAAACTGCATTTTATATTAAAGTTTATTTGCATGTGCAATTCAAAATTTACGAGTATTTATTTTAATATTTATCAAATTTTATAACGCTAAATACAAATTTGCGATAAAAAAAAAGTTGCCGTGGAATCATTGTCTATTTTTAGTTAATAAAAAAAGCAAAATATAAAAAAAACTAAACTTTCAAAACTTGAACTTGTAATATAAACTACGTTTTATTTAAATTTGAAAACAAACTATGAGATAATTTTCTTTTAATATATTCAATTGTTTGTGCCGGTCTTTAAAATTTCTATATAAGTATGTAAATTTATTGAAAATTTGCATAATACTTGGAAATTCATTTATTTTATTTATAAACAATTAGATACGATGATGTTATCAGAGTTTTATGATAATTATAATAATTCTGAGTTACCAAATCACTTTATTTTGTTTTAGACATTTTCTGAATTTGTTACGTCGTATTTTATCAATTTGATGGAGCTTCACACAAAGTAACGTATAAAACTGTACTTCGGCATTATACGTAGTTAATATTCACCATTATTGTGAGTCTCACTCGTTCTCACTCGAGAAATAATGAATTTCATATATTATAGTTAATTATTACGAAACTCAGAATAAAATTTTACTAATGAAATTTTGAAACGTAGAAAGCCAGTATTCAAGAGTGATCGAGAGATTCGAAAAATTTAAATGTCATTTGACAGCTGTAATAAAATAACGATTATGACACTCCGAAAAATAATCAGTTTGAAATTCTTAGAATTCTACGAGTGAGATTCGCAATAAGGGTGATTATCAAAAACTGATACATACTCGTAGCTATCAATTTATTATATTATGAAATACATTTAAAGTGGCATTAATAATATTTTTTTATATCAAATAAATCAGTGTTTCCATATTTGTACATACTACATACTTTTTTAAGTTCAAATAAAATTGGTAACCCCAACTTTGTACTATTCTTATATGTACATTGATTAAATTGATTAACGAAACTTAATTTTATTGGAACTATGTACATACGTAGTTTAAATTTTATAAAACATCTACATATTAATTATCACAAAATTCATTGTCATGTTAACATAGAACAATATATAATTTGACTTCATTACCATATAGGTATGTAGTAGCTATGTGGCCATGTATAGGTATGTTTTACGATACAGTTTAATTAGATTCAGTTGAGATCGATGCATTCAGTTTAATTATGTACTTTAATTTTATTTACTATCATTAAATTTGGAAATACATACTAAAAAATATCGAATTTTAATGCACATGAATTAAATCAAATCGAGTAATTTTCAATTTTACGTATTTTACACTGTCTCTTTATAATTTATATTACAGCAAAATTTGTACAAAAAAGGTTAAATTTTTGTAAAATTGAAAGTTGGGTCAAACCAATGGTTTGTAAAGCGGCACTTTTCTCTTCAATAATCA